ATGAAAAATGATCTTTTCTGGTTAGTGAATTTAGCTTTCGATAGTCAATACATACACGCCAGCCTGTGACAGTAAGCACTTGGAACTAATTCATTTTCTTTATTCTGTATTATAGTAATACTAGATTTTTTTTGGACTATTTGTGTAGGACTAACCTATTTACTATCAGATATAGGATAGATAATATTTGCATCTAATAGTGTAAACTCCACACTTTTATCTTTATATATGTATATAGGTTTATATAGCAAGTTATTATTTCTTTTGAAATGTTAATATGGAAAAATTTGAGTAAATAGTAGTTAAAACTTAGTTTTAGCTTGTAAATATATGAAATCGTTGTAATATAACTTTTACTAATGAGGTTTGATGTACAAATGTGTGTGGTATAAGTTTGGGATGGTTGTGGAACGGATTGGAATGGGTTGGAAATGAAGAAGAAAGGATTTGTAGAAAAACAGGCAAAACCTTCCGGAACGTTAAAGTAATGTTTTTTCGAAAGGATAATGAAAAAGTTTGTCCAGTAGGCAAACGTTCTGGAAGGTCAATGAAAAACCTTCCGAAAGGTTAATGTAAATGTTTGTCCAATAGACAAACCTTCCGAAAGGTCGATGAAAAACCTTCCGGAAGGTTTTCTAAAAATCTAAAATTTTAAGTCGCGAAACAACCAATTTTCCTTCCACTATAAATATTTAAGGACGTCCCATTTAGCTCCATTTCAACACTTCTAACCCTAGGAAACCTTAGAGAGGAAGAAAGGAAGAGAAAAATACAAGATCAAAGGGGATTTCTACTTCAAGAAGATCAAAGTCATAGTTTTTCAAGAACACCAATCTTATTTATTTGTTAGTAAATCATTGATTCTAGATATTCTTGCAAACACTATTATGTTTTAAACAAATCTATGGTGGGATAACCATCAAATCTCTTATTCTTGACTCAAAACCCTAGTTTTCAAGAGAAATAGATTTTTCTCTTGGTTTTTCCTTTGTCCTTGATTTCAAAACTTTAGTGCTTTATATTAAACCACAAAATGATATTTATAATGATCTCTTGCATACTTTCTTAAATTGTTCTATTGGGATACTTGTTGTGAAATATGGGAATTTTTGAATGTAATTGTGATTGGAGAAAATAATTGGATATTGTATCTCTTGTGGATGTTTGGATGACCATGGGTGGCCATTGACGGGATATCGTAGAGTGGGTTATTACTCCGTGTGGGTTCCCTATCACTCGTAGTAGGGTTGGTGTCTTGTGAGGACCAAACCATTATTCGCTCATGGGTACCGAGGAGAAGGGGTAGTATACTATTCCTGGGTTGGATTCGTCACTGCCATGAGTTGATATACGCCCCTCCTAAAGGTTGGATATCCTTGCGAAGATTTGGATGTGTGTATGTGGGCCAGGATATTCTCGATGTGTTTATTCATGCAAATCAAGCATCATACCTGAGATATGAATACAAGTTGTGAATTTGTGGTTCATTGTACCAGAAACGGTTTTCTACAAGTGCTTGTGGAAGTATGGGATTCTACAAGAACTTGTGGGAAATAGTTTATGGTTGGAAATGATTTGTTATTTGTAACTTGGCGTTATTACTTCACTTAATTGCTATTGTGGAAACTTGAGATTCGTTGAAATGTCCCGATTTTATTTCAAAAATTGATATATGATACTTGCAAAATGGGACCGAACTATTTTAAATATTTTCTAAACCTTGTTCGAGATTAGGAGAATGTTGCTACAGAGCTTAGTACTCAGCCCCTACAAACTATATATTTTCAAATTGTGGTCTAGACGAGGAGCTCGGAGTTGAGGAGCCGATACATTGGGAAGCTCTACTAGACGGGCTCGTGGATCCCGAGGGGGACGTCTAGGGTAATACTCTCCTAGGTACTAGACTAGGAAATTCTTTTGAGATTATGTTTTGTTATTCCACTGCAAAGTTTAAACTTGATTCTTTTGGGATGTAGTTGCCATAGTAGGGCATATTCTTTTGGACAACGTTGTAGATATTGTGGAAGATGAATGAAATTATTTTTTTATTATGGATGTTATTAGCTACTCTCGTGTTGTGAATTGTTTTTAAATTGTAATGTCGTCCAAGGGGGATTTTGGGGCGTTACAAATAGTTTAAGTACTTCATTGCGAACGACCTCTTTTAAGTGTGGATTTAATCATCGATACATTTGACGAGATGGTTTAGCATTTTCTTCTAAATATATACAATGAGTACACAGTAGTGGGCTTATACCTTTTATATCAGCTATTGTCCATCTAAGAACACTTTGATGATATTTCAATACTTTTATTAATTCTTTTTCTTGACTTTCAGATAATTTTGATGATATGATTACAGGATGGATTTCATTTTTTTCTAGAAAAACATATTTCAGATTGATTGGAAGTGGTTTTAAATCCGGCTTAAAGATCTTGACATTAGATTCTATAGATTTAGGCAACAGATTTTCACATTTTGGATTTTTTAGATTTTCTGATTCATTTTCAGATACAGATTTTACTGTGTATAAATCTTTTTCCAGAAAAACTTTTTCAAAAAAATTTTGAGTTAGTGTTTCAACACAATTTATTTCATACATTTCATCTTCTTCTCTAGGTTGTTTAGCACTATTAAAAATATTTAGTTCCAAGGTCATATTTCCAAATGAAAGTTTCATGATTCCATTTCTACAATTAATCAAAGTATTTGATGTAGCTAGGAATGGTCGACCTAGAATCAATGGTATATATGCAGATTCATAATAGTTTGGTTTCGTGTCTATAACGATAAAATCTGCTGGAAAATAAAATTGATCAACTTGGACAATAATATCTTCCACCGTTCCTCATGGAATTTTTATTGATCGGTTTGCTAATTGTAATATGATATTGGAAGGTTTTAGTTCACTTAATCCTAATTGTGTATAGATTGAATATGACATTAAATTACAGCTGGATCCAAGATCTAGCAGAGCTTCTTTGATTTAAAAATTTTCAATGATGCATGAGACTGTAGGACTACCTGGATCTTTGTACTTAAGAAGAGTATCATGTTGTATTATAGTATTAACTTGTTCAGTTAGAAATGTCTTCTTTGGTACATTTGTTCTTCTTTTTACTGTGCAAAGATCTTTTAAAAACTTAGCATAAGCTGGAACTCATTTTATTGTATCTAACAAAGGAATGTTGATCTTGACTTGTTTGAATAGTTCAAAAATTTCAGATTGATCTTTTTCAAATGAAAGTTTCTTGATCTTTTGAGGAAAAGGTAAAGGAATAGGACATGGTATTTCTGGTAGTTTTTCAATTGAAGGTTCAGACTCAAGTGGTTCATTAACAGGAATTTCTTTACGTATTTCCGTTGAAATTTTTGGTTTAATAGTTTTGTCAATGATTTTTCCAGTTCTTAGTGTTGTGATCGCTTGTACTTGACTTGGAGAAGCTTCAAATGACACATCATTAGCTTGACTCTGACTTTGTGGAGGTTTAGGTTGAGATAAAAACTTGCCCTTTTCTGGTATATTGAGAGACTGAGTCAATTTAACTAGATTATTTTTAATATCGTCAATACTCTGAGAAGTTTGAGCTTTAAAATCATTAAAGGCTTGTGTTGTTTAAGTGTTAAAATTCATTTGACTTTGAATAAATTGATTCATAGTATCTTCCAAAGTTCTTCTTTGTGGGGGTTAATATGGTTGATAATTTTGTTGATTTTGCGGTTGTGGTAGACCTTGTGTTTGATTTGTGGGTTGTGTATTTCTCAAACTAAAATTCAGATGATTTCTCCATCATGGATTGTAAGTTTCAGAATATGGATTCAGATAAGGCTTATTATTATAAGTTGGAAGAGCATTAGATTGTTCAATTAAGACTTCTTTAAATAGAGGTATAGTTGGATACTCTGTTGCAGGATGTTCTTACAACGCACAAATTTCACATATTTGATCAGTAGTTGAAATGACAGATACTTGTTTTATTTCTCATCTCTAAAGATTCTAGTTTTCGAGATAAACTTGTCATTTTAGCTCTTAAATCATCATCATTTTTTAACACATATTTTCCTCTTTCGGATGTAGATGGCTTATTTTCTATTATGTTTGAAGAAGTTGAGTTCCACATCTGGGAACTCTCAGAAATAGTATCAAAAAATTGAAATGTTTCTTCAGGATTTTTACTCATAAATTTCCCCTGCACTATCATTTCAACAAATTGTCACATTGCAAGTGGAAGAGCATCATAGAAAAAATCAACTAAAGTTTAGTTTTCAAATGCATGATGTGGACAAGCTTGAAGAACATCTTTAAATCTTTCCCAACATTGATAAAAAGTTTCTCCTTCTTTTACAGAAAAGTTCATTATTTGACGTCTTAATGTATTTGTACGATGTACAGGAAAAAACTTTTTAAAGAAATTAGCTTGTAAAGCTTGCCAGTTTGTCATTGAATTAGTTGTTAAAGAGCTAAGCCACTGTTTTGTTTTATCTTCTACAGAAAAAGGAAAGAGTTTTAGTCTAACCATTTTAGAATTATCTTGCAATGTTCCACAGACTTCTTCAAATTCTTTCATATGAACATAAGGGTTTTCAGTTTCTAGACCATGGAACTGTGGTAATAATTGTATTGTTCTTGGCTTAATATTAAGATTTGGAGCATCTGGTGGAAAAGCAAAGCATGATGGGACATTTGTTCGTGTAGGATGTAGATATTCTCTTAATGGTCGAATATTTTGAATTACTTCTTGTTCTCTAGGTTGTACTTCCCTAGGTACATTTCGAGTCATACTTAATTCAAATTATTCTTGAGTAAATGAAGATGTTGAAGATGAAGGAGATGATTGATTTACAGATCCTACGGATGAATGAACAGACATATACTATTTAAAAAGAAAATACACTTTATATACATATAATACAACTAAACAACTTTTGTATTTTATCTAATTTCAAATTACCGTAACTCCTTGGCAACGGCGCCAAAAACTTGATTTGCACTTCTTAGTGATCGGATTAATGATGTTGGGGATGGCTCAGGCGACGCCAAGGGAGCGAAGAGCGACGTTGGGAGCATGGGTGATGCCGAGGTAGATGGGTCTAGCAGCACTGATTCCAGAAGTGGCGGTGCCAGGGATGTTAGTGGCGATGCCTTTCATTGGTCAGGTGACATTGATGAAGATGGTCATGGCATAGGCAATGTAGAATTCTAACGCAACGTGGCCTAGGGTGACGCCCACGGTGCTAGAGGTCAAAAAGACAGTGCCCAATTCACGAGGGACTTTGCTAGAGCGGTTGCAGATAGCAGGCTCCTAGGCGAAGACTAGAGAGAGGAGGGAGAGGAGGACGGTGCTAGCGTGTTCAAAAATGCTAGCAAGGGGTTGGGTGATGCTAGCCAAGCACAGGGCGTAGGTCAGCGTAGGCCAAGCAGGCTAGCAACGACGCCGGTGGTCTGGCCGATGATAGGTATAGGCTAGGCGACACTAGTGGATTTGAGGTGAGACCTCGTGACAGTGAGGCAAACACTTGACTTTTCATCATTTCCCTAGTCCTAGCATCTACATTTTCTTAGAATTTCTTAACATCGCCTCTGATTTTGACAAGCGCCTGTTCTGATGGAGGTATGTTGAATGATGCTACACAAGGCTCACAAAGAGGCAAGGTAGTGACAATTCGAAAGTAATCTCCATTTTTAGTTCTATAGATCGTCATGATGACATTGCTCGCATTGTTTCCTTGTTTCGTATTCCTCCTGCTATCTTATGTCATCAGGCCAAAGGGGACGAGCCAGTATGTCATGACTCATTCAGAGAGACTGTCCTTTACGAGGACGTCCTAGGGGCAGGGTTGAGGTTCCCGATACCCAGATCTATCTGTCAAATTTTGGAACACTTAACACTGGCTCCAAGGAGGTTGACTTCCCAATGGGTGGAGAGTGATCCTGACATTTTTCTCATTATGGCAGCTAGTTCACAGTGCTGATGTTCCTCGCTTTTTAAGGAATTTTTTACTTTGTATGCAATTTTACAGAACCCTACTCCCCATCAAGAGTGGTATCATTTTACTCCGAGGTCTAGTAAACTTATTACTAGACTACCCTCGAATTGCCACAATTAGAAGTCTAGGTTCTTCTTCATTGGAGGCGAGTGGGCCACTGAGAGAGATCGTGACTTAGTGCCTTCAAGTTGGGACACTGTTCCAAGGACCAAGCTGGGTAAGAATTTCACTTTTACTTTTTTGTCTAGCCGTCAATTATTTGCTCTTACAGTGTGATTGGTTCCTTTACAACTCCACCCACATTATCTGCGAAGCAGGAGAATAGAATTCAGGTAGTACAGGATCATCCTTTCAAGGACTTTTCAGAGATTATGTCCGCATCAGGTCATCCCACAGTCTCCTCTAGGCAAAAGAGGAAAGGTATCTGATCCTTCCAATAGACTTTTGATGGTTGTGACTTTATAGGCTCTTTGTCTTACACCAATTTCACAGATTCCACTGTTGACAGAGCGATGGTGGAGGCTCTTTATGTTTCTAGGGTGGCATCTTCCCCTCCTTCCTCTAAGAGGGCGAAGTCTAATGCACCCAGCGATTCGTAGTCGACGTCTATTGGCTAGGTTAGTTCTTGGGAGACGGGACCCAGTGATGTCCCCACTCCTTTCCCAATTGTGACCCCATCGCATTCCAGAGCTAGTCATAGGACAACTATAGGGATTGAGGCTCTGGTGCAGCCTCCTATAAGGACCAGAGCTCTACAGAGCTGTCCTACTTCTTGTAGTGGTTCAGTATCCATGTTGCAAAACGTGAATCTGGTCAAGGAGCAACTTTGGGGGTTTGTGACCACTTCAAAGATCCAAGAGGTCAACTGTCGAGGTCTAGAAAGCATCATTGGCACTACTATGGAAGGCTTTACTATGGTATGCCTTTTACTCATCTTTGATTTTGTTCTCGCTTCTTTTCTCTCATGTCCTACATTTTGCATGCTTGTTTGCCGCTATTCCCTGCTTGTTTTCAAGGACAATGAAGTTAAAGAGGCCTTTAGAGACCTAACAGTAGTGAGTTAGGCATAATGGACTACTGAGGAGCAGCTGGGGCTTGAGAGGCAGGTGTGAGAGGCTATCGTGGTGTAGTTGAGGCTAGCAAATGAGAAAGTTGCGTCCCCTTGAGATTGAGCTTTTGACATCTCGTAAGAAGGCCGCCCAACTAGAAGCTGGTAGAGAGTTTGCTTGTGTGAGAGTAGAGATAGAGCTGTGAGCGTCCCGTGGGAGGACCACTAGAGCTACCAGGGTAGAGGCTCACTCCGTTGAGATGGAGAAGAAGAGGGATGATGTTGAGAGGGCCGAGGTAGGCGCCTTTATCGATGGTTATAAGGAACTTAAGGGTAAGGTCTCAGCATCTTTTTTTGCCTAGGACTTTTCTGGCTTCGTCCCCTATGAAGCACCAAGGACTGATGATGAGGAGGAGAGCTTTGATGGGAATGGATCGAGGACAAGTGAGTGATTGTCAAGAGTACCGTACTTTTATCCACGTGTTTCTCTTTTTGTGGCTAGGTTGTGTTCTATCTTTTGTAAATAATTTATTAACTTCTATGGAATGAGAGACAGCTTTTGAAAAAGACAAAATCTTGCAAAATTTTATTCCATAATCTGAAGTAGATAACAACAAAAATTGACTAAAACAACAAGAGATAGTTTAAATGGTGACAACTAACTTGTGCATCCATTGTCTTGCTCCTAGCTATTGGTAATATCTCTTCATGTGCTCTGCGTTCCATAGATGGGTCAAGACTTTCCCCTCAGTGTTCTAAATTATGTAGGTGCCCAGTCTTATAGCTTTTGTGACCGTGTAAGGTCTTTCCCAGTTTGGGCCTAGCTTCCCTTCCTGAGAGTCCTTGGTAGATAAGATGACCATTTTGAGGATAGGTCCCTAGGCAAGAAGGAGCAAGGCTTCACCCTCGAGTTGTAGTACTTGGTTATACGATGCTTGTACTCTGCATTCATGAGTATGGCTATCTCCCTCTTTTCCTCTACCAAGTCGAGGTTGATGCAGAGATCTTCTTCGTTAGCGGTAGGTTTATGGTATTGGACCCTAAGAGAGTGTACCCCAATCTCGACCAGTATGTGGTGCATAGCTAAAATTAACATTTCACTATGCACTTACAAGACTAATTATGTTTTGATTGAGTTTAAATGATGATATTTCAGGAAAAGGTTGTACAAAGGCCTAAAGTCAATAAATACCAAACTTTCAAACAGTACCCATGTGTTCTAGAAGTGAATTGGAGAAGAAGGAAGCAAAGCATCCACGTTCGAATGCCTATCCACATTCAAACACCATCTTGAAATAATTAAGGGCCCCCAAGACATTGCTAGGGTGATGGCATGTTGCAGCTATTCCCTAAGAAGAACAAGAGCTACTTGAGTACAATGTTCGAACGTCAATCCACGTTCGAACGCTCTCTTGAATTATTTGAGGAACCCCAGAAGACTGCTAGGGGTGATGAGAGGTGGCCTGTTGTAGCCATCTACTGTGGGTGACAAAAGCCACTTGAGTACCACGTTCAAACTCCAATAGCGTTCAAATGCCCATCAAAGAAGACATGCTTCCACATTTGAACACCAACAACGTTCAAACGTTGTTCTCAGACAAGAAACAGAAAGATTAGATCTCCATCCGGATTTTTGGGCATTCACTTGAGCTTTCAGCACCTAAACGTATTCTTCTACTCTCCTTTTACCTCCTCCTTCTTGCTTATAAATAACTTTCATTGGAGCTTGTTAAAAGATCACCTTTTGGAATAGGAAGAAACCCTCCAAATGTAACTAGTTTTCTTTTACTTTCATTGTTAGTTTCATTAGCTTCCATTGTAATAGCTTCTTTTTTCAATTAGAGGAGTGAAACTTTCTCACCTTTCTAGCACTCTTGTAGCCTTAAAGGGCGGGTAGTGATTCACTTAATCTTCGTCAAAGATAGGCTTATTGTATAGTATAGTTTATCTTGTAACTCTTATACTTGGAGGGATGAGGATCACTCACTTTTCTAGCTTTCTCAAAGCCATGTAGAGTGAGTGGTTTCTCATTCACTCTTTAGTAAGAGGTGATGGACATGTATAAATCATTCAAAACTTATTTTTGTGCATTTCATTTATGCTTAATGCTTTATCTTTTGATTGCTTATTGAATGATTAAATGCATCTAGCAAAGTTAAGATACTTTTGTACAATCGTGAGTCTTTCTAAGATAAGATGACTCTTGGTATAGGAGGATTCATTGGTTCTTTGCAAGTACTCCAGCTAGATGTTCATGACTACATTCCAATCTTCACTATTATTGTGCTTCAACTAAAGAATGTAATAATATCACAATGGTTGGATGACTTGTTGAATTACTTGCTTGTTTGTAGACTGGTTGAGTCCCAGCACTGAAAAATTCTTATAAATCTCTACAAAGACATCGGAACCGTACTCTTAATTCTCACAGTCCATCTTTATCCTTCAATTAACTTTATGTTGACATGGGGGTTAATTGAGTTCTCAAGCACAAATATAACAACCGAATGATTGACTATATGTCCAAATCCTCGAGCTGAAAAGTGACTCTTTCATTTGAGAGAATCTTATATTCTATCCAGAAATTCCAAGAGAATATTATATTTTGTTTAGAAAATCCCACAAACATCATAACTTCAAATCTCAAGAGTTTCAGTCACTTTGGTCTCTGTGACTATTTACTCCAAAACACTAACAGTAGTTCCTTGTGGATTCGACACTGGATTTAACCGGATTATAACTACAATTTGACCAACTGCACCTAGGTGTACACATTTCGGATCATGACAAATTTTTTGTGCCGTTGTCGGGGAACCAAAAGGTGTTTAAAGTAGAAAGTGAAAACACATTCATTTGTTGTATATATTTTTGATTTACTATATATAATTCTTATTTTATGTCTGAAGATGATCCTCACTTTCCAAATCTGCCAGAAGAATCTGTTGGGTCTGTAAATCAATCAAGACCATCTTCACCTCAATCTTGATAATAGCATGACCAATAATAGGAGAGAAGGGGAAGTTCCTAAAAGAGAGGGGGAAGTTCCTAATATTTGAACTCTACGGGATTACTTGCATCCCACACGACACAATGTCCCTTCTTGTTTTGTGTTTCCTGCAAATGCGCCCCTCTTTAATGTAATGACAAGGACAATGCAATTACTTCCTC